GCGCGCCTAAAGAAGGCGCCAATTCAAGCCCAAAATCATATTATCAGAAACGGCTTCTCACGGGCGCGCCGGGGATAAAACCCAAAGTTTATTCCAGGCCATAAACGCAGGACGAAAAAAAAGAAGAAGAAAAAGGAAGGGGGGAGGGGGAAAGAGCCCAATTCAAGCCCAAAAAGTATTTCTAGGCGCTAAACGTAAACGGCGCCACAAATTCAAAGCCCAAAAATATTTTTACATGGCTAAAGCGCAGCCCAATTCAAGCCCGAAAATTATTTTGCAGGCCTAAAACGCGCCCAATACAAGCCCAAAAATTTATTCCAGCCTAAAACGCGCCCCAATTCAAGCCCAAAATATTTTGCAGGCCTAAAACGCGCCCAATTCAAGCCCAAACATATTTTCGAGGCCTAAAAAGCGCCCAATTCAAGCCCAAAAATATTTTCGAGGCCTAAAAACGCGCCCAATTCAAGCCCAAAAATTTTTCTAGGCCTAAAACGACGCGCCAATTCAAGCCCAAAAATATTTTCTAGGCCTAAAACGCGCCCAATTCAAGCCCAAAATATTTTACAGGCCTAAAACGCGCCCAATTGAAGCCCAAAAATTTATTCCAGGCCTAAAACGCGCCCAATTCAAGCCCAAAAATTTATTCCAGGCCTAAAACACGCCTAATTCAAGCCAAAAATATTTTCGAAATTAGAGTTTATTGAAGAATATAAATGCACGCGAATATTTTATAAATTATTAAAAGATTTTCATTTTTGCAATTGAATAATCAGCATTGGTGCGTCTACACGTTTGTTATAAAAATTATTGGGTAAGAATCTACTGTTTATACATATATAAATACTTGCATTTGAAATACAAATCGTTTTTATTAAATTAACCTTTATACAATGAATTTACAGTTGAAAAATGTGTTGTTCTCATTTTCTTCATTACAATTATTCTGTGCATAGGAAAATCATAATTTTGGGTGAGGAAAGTATGGATTATTGTAATTATAATTTTTATTGTAGTAATGATCGTGATTGTAATGCTGAATGTATCAGAAGATTGTTGATGGTACAAATAAGGATGAGCTGCAAGATGAGGTCCTACTGGTGGTGTGGTAGTCAGATTCTGAGATGATTGATTCGTTAATGGAGCTTTCGTAGTTGTTGATGATGGTGGTGTTGAATTTTTGTTTTTGCTGCTGATAATGACGGTGATGCTGAACTATCTACTGATATATCTGATGCTAATGATGAACTAGCAGTTGGGTTAGGTATTTCTTCTGATGAGTTTGATAATTTTTTGGGCAACTGAAAATATTAATTGTATAATAAGAGTAAGTATTAATATTAATGTTATAATATGAATTATCTCATTGATTGCAGATAACTTGACAATATTTTGTTTTACCTTTTTTCTTTTTTGGTCTTGGACTGTTCGAATCATTGCTTATTCTTCTTTGTCGGAATTTTCTTTTTCTTCTGATGCTTTTTTACTGCGTAAATATTGAATTCTATGATTAACTGTTTTATTATAATATTTTGTGTCAATCACTATGTTGAAACGATTTTTCATATAACCTGTAATAGTATAAATAAAATCGTACATTTCTATAATTCTTATGGAAAATTTTTGTTCTATTATTAACAATAAGGTAGATTACCGATCACGGCTGTGCGAATTTTAGGAAATTGATCAGTTAATTTTTCAGCAGAACCGCTCTCGCTAATTCTTCTTCTCCTCCAGTCAGCTCTGTCACTAAAAGCCTAATAAAGGCATTTTTTTATTATGGCCGCATTCACCAGTGATTCTAGAATGCTCTCTTCAATAAAAATATTTGTTTTTGGATATAATTCAATCTGGAATGTAGAAAATGTTATTATTCTATTTATAAAACTATTTCTTCAATCAAAAATTTATTAAACTTCGTTACCTTAGGATTGCTTGGTTGGGCGTCAGGATATTTTTTGTTACATGCTTTTATAAAAGCTTCATTCTGCAATCTACATACTTCCAGGAATTCTGGGGTAACTAAAAATTAAAAATAATGATGAGAACGAGTGACTTCATTCATAAATTAATATGCCTGAAGAACTACGATCATTTACGTCTAATACATATTATTATATTATGCATTAATAGAAGAGATTTATGAATGTTAAAAAACGATTTTTTAATTATTTAAATCAATGTTTTTAACTTTAATAAATATTTTATAAGAATGAAAAGCCTTAGTTATAAACACATTGGTAGTTTTATAATAAATAAATTTATTTTATCGTAAAAAATATTTTTAACAGTTAAAAATATTTTTTACACAATTAATTAACCAACTTCAGTAACGCCACCTAACTTTACATTAACCCAGAACAATCATGTTTATCAATTCACCGTTTAAACTCTCACTTCTTGCCTTATGCATATCTTTTATTAATATAAATATGCATGAAATTAAACTAAATCCTAATCTCAATCGAATTTTATATCATTTTATATGAAAGAACCATGTAATCCACAATAAAATATGAATTATATTCGTTACATCATATTTTTTAATAATTAAGAAGATTTATTAACTGTTAAAAATATTTGTTGTGCTGTAGCAAAGCTATGTTAAATAGTTAAGATATAATTTATGACTGTCACAAAATATTTTTTCACGGTTAAGAAGCCTCTTTTATTATTACAAATCTCTTCTATCAGTGTGTACACTTACTTTTGGATCTCCATTCTCTGCAGACGCAATTTTGCAATTTTCACAAGAATCCAAAGTATCCATATTCGTTTTTCTGAGGTTCACTTGTTATGTTTGACAAACTCTGAATAAGTTCATTAGCATCTGAGGTGTTTTTATTTTGCGTCACAACTTTGCGCTTTTTGCCTGCTGAATTTTCCTACGTTCAGCCATGATTTGTATCTTCAGTTCTTTCTTCTGAATTTTTCCTTTTTGATTAACGATAAGACTTTCAAGATAATCTTGTTTTCTACAAAATATAATAAAATATTTCATTCCTATTTGATAATAGAAAATGTATTATTAATAAACGTAGTTTTCGACATACACTATATTTTAATAATTTCAATTATAATTTTTCGTTCTTAAAATTCAAATATTCACTGAACTATTTCACTTCAACTGTATGTACTTCACTCAATGCTAGCATCAAACTGAATTAACGAACAAAAAATCTATGCTGTCCAGAGTAGCAGAAATAAAAGAAAATACTTATTTTTTAAGGAAGGGATGGTGATTTGTCTGAAAAGAAATGATGGAAAATCCAAAAACCGCCATAACGTACTTAGGGAATAACAGCATATGTTTTGTATTTACAGAGAAGATTAAAAATATATTGTTTGTCGTACGTATTAAAAAGTATCATTACAACTGAAAACGTATATAAAGTGGATGTACATGCTACGATTGTATATTTCACACCTACGAACGAACAGTAGACTTGCTCAAACACGTTTACAATTTCCGTAAACACGTGATTTAAGATAGTCTAATTGTCTTTCCAGATCTGAATATTATTTTTCGTTATACCTGTGCAAAAAATTCAATCATTCTTAAATGAAAAAAATGAAGTTTTCGCGCGGGGCCTGATGAAAAATATTATTCTCTTACCAATTACGCAAGATATAAGTACGTGTTATGATTTATAATACAACTTATATTTATTTAAATAAATCTTTCATGCGAATATAGTAACAATAGACGTAATGTTTAATTTTTTTTATACTTACTGCTGATTGGGAGGATTTTTGCATCATACAAAGTTGTGATCCACCATCTATCCAAGGTATGTCACCCTTCCATCCTACTTTAATAAATTGCGGTTCTAAAACTTTGGAAATATCACTAATATTCACAACAGAAACTTCACTACTTTCTACCCAAATACTACCACCCATGATGATTTCTTTTGTTTCATGATCGTTGTAGTTTACGTTATAAGAAAATATAGAAATAGCGGGATTACACGTCATAATTGTTGGTGACAAACTTTTCGACAGATATATAAAGATTTGGGTTCATTGAGGAACTGTATACAATAAAATACCGTAAAGGTTCGTCAACGTTCGGTATAGTCGAGAGCAATAAAAATTCAGGTAAAAACTTAGTATTTTCATGTATCACTATTAATGGTTACCAACAAAAGACTCAGTGAACGGAAATATTTCAAATATTACAGTATACTGGATATTTCAATTAATACAGTAAATAGTTTCGAGTGAAAACAATTAATAACGGATTGCAATGTTTACATTGTGCAAATTAAACCGTGGAAATAAAGAATCTGAAGAAACGAACCTGGAAAATCAAAGCGATAATATGGAGGTTAGTGCATCAGGTAGTGCATATAGAGCTGAAGATAATAGTGAGGAAAATATCTCTGATTATGATGAGGAGGAGTTGGAACCACAACGCCAGATCGTAGAGGTAGACAATATGAGTTCAGAAGATGAAGAATTAGAGCAAATAAACCAGGAAAATCAAAGCGATAATATGGAAGTTAGTCAATCAGGTAGTGCATCTGGAGCTGAAGGTAATAGTGACGAAAATATCTCTGATTACGATGAAGAGGAGTTGGAACCACAACGCCAGATCGTAGAGGTAGACAATATGAGTTCAGAAGATGAAGAATTAGAGCAAATAAACCAGGAAAATCAAAGCGATAATATGGAGGTTAGTCAATCAGGTAGTGCATCTGGAGCTGAAGGTAATAGTGACGAAAATATCTCTGATTACGATGAAGAGGAGTTGGAACCACAACGTCAGATCGTAGAGGTAGACAATATGAGTTCAGAAGATGAAGAATTAGAGCAAATAAACCAGGAAAATCAAAGCGATAATATGGAGGTTAGTCAATCAGGTAGTGCATCTGGAGCTGAAGGTAATAGTGACGAAAATATCTCTGATTACGATGAAGAGGAGTTGGAACCACAACACCAGATCGTAGAGGTAGACAATATGAGTTCAGAAGATGAAGAATTAGAGCAAATAAACCAGGAAAATCAAAGCGATAATATGGAGGTTAGTCAATCAGGTAGTGCATCTGGAGCTGAAGGTAATAGTGACGAAAATATCTCTGATTATGATGAAGAGGAGTTGGAACCACAACGCCAGATCGTAGAGGTAGACAATATGAGTTCAGAAGATGAAGAATTAGAGCAAATAAACCAGGAAAAATCAAAGCGATAATATGGAGGTTAGTCCATCAGGTAGTGTATATGAAGCAAATACTTCTTATTATGATGAGAAGTTGGAACTACAACACCAGGTAGTTGAGGGAGAGGATGGAGAATTGGACTATAGTACTCAGAGAAATCTGAATGATCATATTGAATGTAACGAATTTCGTCGAAATGAGGAAAGTCACAGTCAAGCTTTTGATGAAACAGATCACAGAGCAAACTCTGAAAACAATGAACGTCCTGTTGATGCATCAACTGATGAAGAATTAGATGATGATCCTCCTCTATATGAGAATGCTCCTATCACACTATCCGAAAGTATGTTGAGCATTTTTATGTACTCTATAAAACACAATTTAAGTGGTTGTGCTCTGTCTGATTTGTTGTCAGTAATAAGTGCACACATACCACCGAATTCTCATCATAAAAAAACTATCTATTTTTTCACAAAATATTTTAACAATGACAATATTACGATGAAAAAACACTATTATTGCCCAGATTGTACAAACCGTTTGACTTCAGAGAACGCGGTTTGTGAATGTATCGCTAATGTAAATGACAGGCACGAACCGTTATATTTTATTGAACTTTCGATCATTGATCAATTACAAGCCTTACTCCTTCGTGAAGGATTTCTTGACGATTTATCACATCCCCAACATCGTCAAAAAGAAAAGATGGTAATATAGAAGATATCTACGATGGTTTGCTATATAAAGAGCACATGAAAGAAAATAATCCTGATTCTGAGGAATTTACAATTTCATTTATGTGGTATACTGACGGTGTACCAATATTTAAATCCGCAAAATACAGTGTTTGGCCATTTTACCTAATTATTAATGAACTGCCATATCAAAAAAGAATTTCAAAGGAAAATATGATTTTAGCAGGCCTATGGTTTGGTTCTTCTGATCCTTTAGTAAATTACTTCTTATATCCATTATATAATCAACTAGCCCAATTAAGAACTGGAATTCATGTAGAAGTTCCTAAATCTAATCGATTTAAAACTATTAAAGCATTAATTCTTTGTGGAACTTGTGATGCAATCGCAAGATCTGATTTTTTGAATCACATTCGATTCAATGGAGATTATGGCTGTACAAGATGCTTTCCAAAGGATATACAATTAGAGAGGAAGGTGTATTTGGAAATACTCACATCTATCCATTTGAAGGGGAATTTCTTAATCGAGATCTTGTATCTTATGAAACTTTTTCAATGATGGCAAGTACAAAAAAAAAACCTGTCGTTGGTGTAAATGGTCCATCCATTTTGAGTAAAATAATGCCAAATTTTATTCGAGGCACAGCAATAGATGTCATGCACTGTGTTTTTCTAGGTGTAGTGAAGTATCTGACAAAATTATTGTTAGATGTTTCTTATCGCTACAAACCTTGGAGTTTATACCATGTGCAAAATATCATAGATGAACGTCTGAAGCAGATAAAACCTCCAAATTTCATTAAACGAAAGCCTAGATCGTGGGTAAAACATTCCAGTTATTTTAAAGCTAGTGAATGGCGATCTTTTTTTTTCTTCTATTCATTACCGCTCTTTGAAGATTTAATGGAAGAAAATTATTACAATCATTATTGTGAATTCGTCTATGGTATATATATATTAAATCAAAAATCAATAAGTAATGAATCTCTCAACATGAGCAGGCAACTTTTAACATCATTTGTTGCAAAATTTCAATCTCTATATGATTCACAATTTGCAACTTTCAACCTTCACACCCTCCAACATTTACCCGACGTCGTTCAAGATCTAGGCCCACTATGGGTAACGTCTTGTTTTCCTTTCGAAGATTTATTAGGTAAGATCAAAAATTTCGTTCATGGAACGCGATATATTGGACTACAAATATGTACAAAAATTATTAATTACTTATCAGTTGAAACAAAATTAAAGAAGTTACCAAGAGAAAGTCATGTAGCAAAATTGTGTAATAAACTGAGAACAGTAGGTAAACGCACGTGTATAGAACGGCGAATCGGCAACAATACTTACGTACTTGGGAGAATGTGGTTATTAGAAGAAACTGCAGAAAGCCGAAACCTTCGATCGATACTTACAAACGTTCATCAAAATATAAACTCTACTTGTAAGATATTTAAATTTTACCGTTTGAAAATTAATAATCAATATGTTTACTCCAAATTATATAATAGGAAAACATCATTTATTTCTTACTGTGTTAAGATTCATAGCAATGCACATTCAAAAGTAGGTTTTATTAAGTATTTTGTAAAGGTATGTCATTGTAGAGTAAGTAAATGTGAATTAAACTGTGCTCAAGCTAAATTTTATGCATGTTTTAATGAAGCAGTTGTAGACACGTCGTTTCATTTCAAAACTTCACTTCATGTGATGCAACCAAATATAAATGGACATGATTCAAGCTACAATGTTACAAATAAGACAATACCGTATTTATATAAATTTGTAGCGGTAAATTCTTCAGATATATTTGTTATATCAATTCAATTGTAACCGTTTGTTTTGTTATAAACATTAACAGTAATATTTATATCGGAGAACCGAATAATATTAATGAATATTGTGAATAAAAGTATAATGCTTAAGAAAAAATTAATATCCAATAAAGAATTATGAAAATTACAAGATTTTGATTCTTGTTCATTTACTTCTTATCATATTACCAACAAACACTTTTGAAAAAAAATGTACAATCGATTATTGTTGTATAAAGGTTAATTTAATAAAAAGGATTTGTATTAAAATGTAAGTATTTATATATGTATAACAGTAGATTCTTACCCAATAATTTTTATAACAAACGTGTAGACGCACCAATGCTGATTATTAATTGCAAAAATGAAAATCTTTTAATAATTTATAAAATATTCGCGTGCATTTATATTCTTCAATAAAATCTAAATTTCGAAAATATTTTGGGCTTGAATTAGGCGTGTTTTAGGCCTGGAATAAATTTTTGGGCTTGAATTGGGCGCGTTTTAGGCCTGGAATAAATTTTTGGGCTTGAATTGGGCGCGTTTTAGGCCTGTAAAATATTTTTGGGCTTGAATTGGGCGCGTTTTAGGCCTAGAAAATATTTTTGGGCTTGAATTGGGCGCGTTTTAGGCCTAGAATAAATTTTTGGGCTTGAATTGGGCGCGTTTTAGGCCTCGTAAATATTTTTGGGCTGAATTGGGCGCGTTTTAGGCCTCGAAAATATTTTTGGGCTTGAATTGGGGCGCGTTTTAGGCCTGCAAAATATTTTTGGGCTTGAATTGGGCGTGCTTTAGGCCTGCAAAATATTTTTGGGCTTGAATTGGGCGTGCTTTAGGCCTGGAAATGTTTTTGGGCTTCAATTGGGCTCCTTAAAAATTTAGGCCTGTATTGGGCTGTTTTGGGCGCTGAAAATTTCTCTAAGTCAAGATTGGACTTCAATTGGGCCTGTATGGGCTTATTTTTCATTTGTGGGCGTGTTTTGGGCTCGTTTTGGGCCTATTTATTTTTACTCGGGTTGAATTGTCATTGATACAATCTTTTATTGACGATTTTTATATACATTAATGAATTCGAGACAAAATATATCACTAGAGAATTGAAAAGCATATTTTAGATAAAAATGTGTAAAAATAATCATCTTCAAACATTCTTTCGGTAAATAAGATATAAACCTAGAATAATCCTTTAAAAATATAATCTAATTATTTGATTTTAATATTAACTATAAATTCATAAATTTTAAATTTGACCTAAAAATTATCTATTAAAGATGAAAATCTTAAAATAAATACAAATTATTATTACTTTGTTAATAAAAGTGATTTTCTTTTAATAATAGTTCCAATAACATTTATTATTCATAATAGAAAGAGAGCAGATTTTCTACTGGATATTCTGAAATGGTACCATTCAGAACTCATTTCATTTCTTTCTTCATACTATAATATTTTGAATTCAAACCATTGCAAAGCAATAATCTGATAATGGTCTTAAATGGCTTTATTCAATTTTTTTTTATGAAAAATCTATAATCTGAAAAAAACCAATTTAATAACAAACTATCTTCAGATAATGGCTAATAATAATTTTTAAAAATTTATTATCAAACGAAACTAATTTATCGTAAAATTGATTTCTTCGTATAAAAGAAAGCACAGTAGAAAAAAGTAAAAAAAAAATAATTTCATTTATCTAAAATTGGAAGTGAAGACTTTATAAAATAAACTTTCTCTGTCTCTTATGGACTTTTAACGATACTTGAAGATAATATCCTTAAATAATGGCTCAGTGGAAGCAATCATCTTTAAAATGTACAGTTCAATAAATCTCCAATCGAAAGATACAAAACAAAAGTATAAACAATGTAAAAAAAAACAATCGAAAACTGTAGCGTAATAGGAAAAATGTCAATAACACATTATTTCGAGAGTCGCAGTTGAACTAGCCTGAAATATTGCAATCGTATTCCGGTACGATATGCTACATAAAGATGAAGATTGATTGTCAGCTTATTATTAGCTATCTAATCTTAAAACCGAATCATTGGATTTGACTTTGAGAAAAATTGCTTTGTTTATGCATGATCGAATCCCACTTGACATCAAATGTATGACTGCTTTACATTTTTTTCTGTTGAATTTCTTAAAAATTGCTTGATCTCATACATCCTTGGCATTGTTCGAAAATCAATAAAACATTTTAGCCGTCAGCTGGTACGAGCGACAAGTAAATTTCCGATAAGAAAGTGCCACTTTTGATAATACTTCTCAGTGCATTTTTAGTAAATAAAATGTCAAACAGCTGCAGTCACTGATGATTTTTTAATCATCCATCAATTCTATAAATTTAACATGCTATCTTGTTCAAATGCTCCGGGATAACGAGCGAATTCAAGTTACTTGGCTAATCGCACAAGTACCTATCCGACATATCATACTCTGAATATCTTTTATGTCTGTATTAAACTGGGTCACGTTGAAATTTTCTTTTTTTTTTCATTCTTCCGTTCGCGCCTGATAG